ACTGGAGAACAAGCTGGGCTATGTGTCTGTAAGGTAAGCCTCACAGTCCAGAGCCCCACTGTACCTCCCTGGACAGATGACACCAGGGACAGGTGGGGATAGACCTCGTGGTGACCCCAGGAGCCCAGGCTGATCACCAGTCCAGAGTTACATACATCTGGCTTTAGTCAGAGCAAGTGAACAGTCAAATCCCTGCTGCTGAGGTTCGGTGGCTGTGGGGAAGGGCGTGTCTGACTAGCTGTACAGATGTTGTGCACTGCTGTCCATGAGCCTCGGGTGAGACTCTGCTCTTCCTGTGGCCCCACAAGCCCTGGAGTCCGGCCTGTCTTTGCCAGCTTTCTGTCTGGTTCCTATGGCCTCGTCTTCTCCAGTGCCTGCTGAGCAACATCTGGAGTAAGAGGGACATCCCATGGGGAGATAGACAGGCAATTATTTAGTCCTGTTATTCCTATTCATCTTATTCCCTGCCAAATATCCTCTTCTCCTCACCCCCACCCTAACTGTAAACCCTGCAGTCATGTCTGCTCTCTGGGCCAGTCTGAGAGCTGGTGCTGCGTAAGTGTCTGAGCTGACAGAAGGAAGTTTCTTGCTGAGACTGGCTGATGACGGACAGATGTAAAGGTCCTGAGTAGATTCTGCATCAGGTTCCCAGAAAAAGGGTGGAGGGCAGCCACTACCTTCCTTTTGGGGAACTGATGCTTGCCTCACCAGAGGAGGACCTTTGAATTGCTGGAGGCCGTACAGGCATGCTGGTGGACCAGTGAGAGAGAGGAGGAGGAGGTGCTTAGCTCTGCCACATACACCATCTGCATCCTGCCTGCTTTCTTCCTCTTCTAACACTCTCAACTCTCCTTCTCTTCCCCAGTGAGCAGCTCCGCCTCCTGCAGCACTCCCATTCTCGAGTCCCCAAGATGGACAGTGTCAGCATTCAGAGCATGATCGAGTCTAACCGAAAGTGGCTAGAACATTTCAGGAATGACCCCAAGGTGTATCCTTTTAACTGGTCCCCAAACCCTTATCCCTTCCTGTTGTAGCAGCTGACTGGCTGTGCTCCGCCACAGGTTTCTGATGTCTGAGGAACGTTCTGTTGGGCCTTTGACCCTTTCTTAGCACTCACCTGGACATGCTCAGCTATCCAGTTTTCCTTCACTTTGTGGCCAGACAGCTCTTCTCCTCGGTGCCCAAACCAACAACCACTTCGAACTTACTGCAGCTGGGCCTGGATGAGTACAACAGACTGAATGTGTTTCACTATTGAACTCTGTGGGGGGCCAGGGCAGCAGCCTCCTCCTTGATACCAAGTGCCTGAGGAGCCGCCCACACTTTATTTCCCTCTGATCAAGCATGTCCTCCACTATGTGCTCCACCCAGCACTTGGAGGAACCCCCGGGTAGATAGGTGGAAAGCACGGCATGACTGTAAACAACTAACTACACACGCTTTGCCCATGGACTGTCCTGAGCAGTAATATGCGAACATGTGCAAACTTCTGCGTCCAAGTGGCTGTGGAGGACTTCAGGGATGTGGTTACCTGCAATTAAAACAACTGCCTTGCGAGGCCTAGGAGGCCTCCTTGGAGGTTGGATTCCTGGCCTTCAAGCCCTGCCGAGGGCTCTTGTGGAGGTGGAGAGTGTGGTCCTTTGTTGAAGACAGCCCTGTAGCATGGCTATGCCCTGGAACTTGGCAGTGCTGGGCCTATAGCTGTCTTTCTGATACCTCAGCCCTGTAAGGATCACATCCATTCCTTTCTTCTTGTGTTTTTTTCTTTTTTAATGTCTTCTTTTGACTATCTCAGGTTTGGGCACAGCTGCCTGAGTGCTGCTGGAGCTGTTAGAGGCCCCAGATGTTCTGCCTCTTTCCCTCAGCCAGCACTGGGCTCTCCTCAGGGTGAGCAGCCTTCCCTCCCTTAAGGTGCCCTCTGGAACTCTCCCTTGCTCTCAGGTCTCAAACACCTATCTCTCCAGGAAGCCAAAAAGAAAGCCATCTAGAAAGACGGGGTTGGCTTCTGTTCTGCCTTGATGTTTCTCTTCCTACAACATCCCTCGCATATCTGTGAGCCCTGTTTCCATCTGTTCTTCTCCCTGAGCCACCCCTGCCCCAATCCAACTATCAACTCCTCCCAGAGCTCGGTGGAAGGGCTGACTAGTACTTGGGAGTGGCAGGGACTGTTTTGGCCTTTTGCTGCTTCTGGCACAGCCTCTACAGCCCCATATCTCCCAGTGGGCTCTGCAGGCGATGTTTGCAGCATCTGTCGAATTGTTTAAACAAAACACCCTCATTTTTCTTGTCTTGAGAAGCTGCGGGCTGCCTTTACCCCCGCAACCCACAGAAACCCATTCTCACGCTTTACCGCTCATTTCTTGGCCATGGGATAAGACACGAAGAACCAGCTGGATTTTAACCCTCTTATAGATATTTTTTAGTCATCAGCCAACCACACACAGAAAAAAGTCTGTTTTGTTATTTGTTCCACTCTGTGTGCCTTGAGAACAGCTTGTGTGATACGACCAACCTTGGTGACAATCCTGTGTTTTTTTTTTTTTTTTTTTTTTTTTTTTTTTTTCTTTTTTTTAATTTTTTTTTTAAAAAACAAGTTTTTTTTCTACAAGCCAGTCCTGTGTCTGTGTTGGTCTCTTCGGAGGCATTTGTGTCCTTCCTCCCGGGGGATAGGGAAGTGGGGACAATGGCTGTTCATGGACTATTTCCCTGGGTATCTGATTTAATTATCCAGCAGTATAGAGTTTGGTGCAGGTGTGGTCTGCTCTGTTTTTATGGGTGACAAAAGCAAGACTTTTGGGGACCCTGCACACCATCCCTGTCCCCTGGAGCACTCTTAGCCCTACACTTGCCACTAGTCTCCAAGGAGTTCTTGCTCACATTTACCCTCTACCCCTTCCCTATTTCTCACTCTCTAGGCTGGAGACCCACGGGGCTGTTTCCCCAAAGACTGGGTTTCTTTTCCCATGTAGACAAAGCTGTGCCCTGCACCCAGCCTTAAGCTGGCAGTGTTAAGTGCCCCCCCCACTCCTCTGGGTGAACAGTCTATGTACATTTTTGGGTTTGTAGCATGGGAGTAGCTAGGAAAACAAACCACACAACCTTCCTTCATGAAGCTGTATAGAAAACCAACTGGAAACAAAAGAACTTAGCCCAGTCCTAGCCACGTCCTAGGAAGGAAGAAGGAAATGAGGAAGGCATCACACTGACAGCCATTGAACACTTCACGTATTGTGGTTTTCTTACAATCTTGTTTGTAATCTTAACCTTAGGAAATTGATATTTTAGAGATGAGGAAGTTTAAGCTCAAAGAGGTTAAATGACTAGGTCAAAGTCACAGAGTTAATAACTAGGATTTGAACTAGACCCATCTGTTCCCTGAAGGTCAGATTTCGTTGCCCACAACCACCCCAGTGTCAACAGCTCCTGTTTCTTACAGGCTTACAGCACAGTCCCTGGCAGCTTGGTTTGAACACCTGGAATCCTGCAACTTGTGGTTCTAACTGGGGTAGTAAAATCTTCCTGGGCTAGAGTTTAAAAGGGGAATTTATGGGCCTGGGGATATGGTGCCATAGAATTTACTTGTTTAGCAGGGATGTCGCCCTGGGACTAGTGCCCAATATAGGCAAAAACAAAACAAAGCGACAAAATGAATGGTATTTGGCCAGGCATGGTGGCATGCCTATTTAACCTTAGTACCCAGGAGGCAGAGGCAGGTCAATCTCTTGAGTTTGAGACCAGCCTGGTTTACAAAGTGAGGATCAGACTGTAAGACCCTCGGAAAGCTCAGGCTTCCAGAATCTTAGCCCAGGACCTCGGCCACCCCAATCACAGAATGGAGGCGAAAGCTTGATGCAAATTGCATGAGGCTTTATTGTAGTTTAACGA